GATGAAATATACCCAAATGCATTTCGTATTGATATCACAATCATTTATACTAGAATCCTTGGATTTTTCTCCAACAGTAGCTTCACGTATGCACAAAGAACATCAGAGTCTAAGTGTTTGTGGTCTTGTGTTAAGGAGCTGAACGTGCAACTGTGTTGGTTGCAGAACCTTGTCACTTCCAATAACATCTTTCACAGTAGGTATGAGACGTATATCCTCCACTTACAACCGACCTTGTTTCTAATACATCTCATAAAATATATCTTATAGTTAGACTCCACAACAGTGAATTCCATATGAGCTTTGATAAAAAAAACTCTTTCACAGCTAGTTGTCCATCATTTTTACTCTCAACTGTGACCCAACTCTAAACTCCATCGATCTTTCATCCGAGGTCCCCTAGATAGCTGAGCATATATTGGGCATATAATGAATATCAGGATTCCTCATGGCATCATAGTTTATCTCACGCATTACAACTAAATGGCGATATCGAGGCATCTGGGGGTACAACCTTTCTGCTTGTATGGCTGTCAGTGGATGTGCCCAAACTGGCAGAGCATTCAGCATTGCTTGTCCACGAGAAACGGTTGCCTCATAGACATCACCCTCTATATCAAAGGCTTATCCATATGAAGCAACCTCAGCGATATCAGATTCATCGATTATTGGTGTGTCATCGTCCATCATAAATAGAACAAAAGTTTCATTGTCTTCACAAAAATCACCAATGATTTCATCAAATCTCTCGATGAGGTTACCTTCATCTTTTGATGGTCATGCTTTTATGGTCACCGGTGCAGCAGTTAATGAAGTAGAAACATATGCATTTTTGGCAATAATCTTAATCATTTGATTATTGGAAGATTGATGAAGGCCAACCATAACAGCTACATCGTCATCATCATTGAGCAGTGTTACTCCATATTTGAGCAGAGTCTCTGAAACGACACGTCAATATCTCAAACTTGAAACATAACATCTATTTTTTTTTTCAATTTTCATATTCATTTGCTGATGAGATACATCTACCGGAAACATCATGTTCGCATGCCTCTATGACATAAACTGGACACTATCTTCACTCTCCAATGAAATGTCATTTCAGATGTCATTTATTGCAGCAATAATGCATATGTCATTTATTGCAGAAATAATGCATTGTCCCAAATAGTGGTGCATTATCATCTTTTACAACTTTTTAGAGGTCATTCAATGCATAATTTAAACAACATTTCAGCAACGGGTGGATTAGTGGTGGTTTATCATCTTCAACAACTTTTCAGTGATGTATCAACTCAAATAAGATTTTTTTATTGCTCATTTATCACTTCATATAAAAAAACGTGTGTTTATCATATGCCAAATAATGACCCATGTCACCAACTTTTTAGTGCTCATTTAATCATCTTCAGCAATTATTAATATGTGTGAGTTAAAAGCCATTTTACTCTACTATTGAAGCAAAAAAAAAAAACCAAAGCACCTTCAATCTTTCACTCCCAAAGCTTAAGTTTTTTTCAAACTTGTCAACTATTTGTTTAACTGTTTTTTATGATTGAAAATCTATAACTATGTGTTTCCCAAAAAAAACATTCAACTACACGAGTTGAAATTCAGTACAGAAACAAGAGTTCTACTCGACAGTTGTAGAATAATATCTTCCTTATATTATAAATTTCCACTGTCATGCATGATGTTTCATTTAAGTGATGATGTAGACCTTGTTGGAATGATTCAGATATATTACTATTACGCTTTGTCTAATGTCTATTTGTTTGTAGAATTCGATGATCTTGACCTTGTTCGTACCATTGAGGATGTTGCTTCCAGCTAGAAATATCCCACCAACTCAGACAAATGATCAAGAAATAAACATAGATGAAGGAGATCCAAAAGCATAGTTCCAATTCGTAACGACAACAACAAAAAGAATGGGAATCGAAGAACTTAATCTTACCTCTAGCGAGTCTACTGATTACGGAGATTAAAACTTCTTAATCAATACTGCTATGTCCATGATTTTATTTAATGTTTATGGTCTTCGTAAGGTTAGTCCTATTTACGTACTTATGTTAATGTATTAAGTTTGTAATTTTTTTCTTCCTAATGTGCATTTCTAAAAGTCTAATCTAATGTATTAAGTTTGTACTTCTTTTCAAATAAAAATCTAACAGAACTCGTCACCTCGACATGATGAGTTCATGTGTATTTTTTTTCTTTTCAACCTTAAATTCACATAATAATTTAAAAAATAATAATAGTTTTTAATAGAACTCGTCACCTTGAGGTGACGAGTTTTACATGAAATATTAAAATATTGGGCCCATAATATAAAAATTATATTCCATGGAACTTGTATCCTCAACGTGACGAGTTCAACTTGGATAGTAGAAAATACCGTATATCCCAAATTAATTTTTGAAGTGTCCTATTAGGCCAAATAATTACACGAGTCCCCTATTGGGCCACAAAAACAATTTTATTTTGCCTCTTTAACTTGTAAGCTTTAAAATTGTGCCGCTACAAGTTTATCTTATACAGGCATGCTGCAGATTACTTATAAGATTTAAAATAATTGATGACAAAAATATAAAAAAGTAAACTCAACTGTGATTTTTTATTAATAAACATTTGATAAAAGAAGGTTCATACATCCTTATAGATGTCATATTCGAATTTAAGATTTTAAGATATAACAATCATTTTTTAATCACTAAGATCATTTGATTCGTGAAAAAAATTTAAGAGCAAATGAAAACAATATTTATTCTAGTTAAATTTGTCTTTTGATTCCCAGTTTTCATACAAAAAAAATCCCCATTCCTGTTTTCTCATATTTTAGATCCTTTTTATCAAATTTTCTCAATCAATTTAAGATGCTTACAACTACTGCTTTTGATTAATTCGTGTTATATTTGGTTATTTGATCAAATTCTTTATGTCAATATTTTTTTTTGGATAGATTACATTAGTGACCACTTAATTATTGTCATATTTCATTTTAATCATCGATGTTTTGATTTAATCAATCAATGCATTCAACTATTTAAGTGCTTCAGTTAAGCTAATGTTTATTAAATTTTGACGAAGGAGGTGATATGACAGTTAACAAATTGATATAATTATATATTTAATCCTTAATATTTATATATTATATTAATGTGATCCTAATTTAATTCAATTAAAATAAATTTAGTCTTTAATTATATTGTGGTGCGTGTCAGTCTATCAATACCTGATTAGAAAATATTTTCTTAATTTTTATTTTATTTAATCCAACGAATTTTTCATCCAATAAAAAATGGCATATGTCACTACTCTATTAAAAATAAAAAATAAAAAATAAATGAGTGAGAATGCATTAAAGCAAAATCGAACCTATACATCCCAGTAGCCAAACACACTACTTAATCACTCAACTAGAGTCACACTACTTAATCACTCAACTAGAGTACACCATTTTTATTTTACTTATTCTAATTAATGACGGAAAAATAAAGTGAAAATCATAAGAGAATTTAAACTTGAGATTGTAAGCATAAACAAATTTACAACAACCACCAAGTCAAATTACACAGTTAAAGAAAAAAAATAGTATTTAATATATTCGTATTTTTAATGTAAAAAATAATTCTTAATTTTATTTTTATTAATTATAATTTATATATATTTATTAATTATATTTAATGTTTATTAAGAATTATTTTTCTATTAAATTATATTAATAATTTATATATTAAAAATGTTTTTATATTTTATTATTTCATTAAATTATAGTTTACTATATATAGTTATTAATAAATATATATAATATTACATTATAATTAATAAATAAAAGTTAAGAATATTTTTTACATTATAAAAAGCACGAATATATAAAACATACTAAAAGTTTTCTTTAAAATGTGATTTGATTTAGTGATCATGGTTGAGTCATTTATGCTTACACTCCTAAGTTTGAATTCTTTTATTATTGTTTTCAATTTATTTTTTTGTTAATAAGTTATATGAAAAATGTTGCAATATTTAACTAATTGGGAGACTTAGCTGGGTAATTCATGTGTGTGATTGGTTATTGGGATGTCTCAGGTTTGATTAAGCCTTGGTGTACTCTTACTCCTTTATTTTCTCTTTTAATTTAATAAAAATAGGGTGGTGACAAAAATATATTGGATTAAATAAATAAAAATTAAGAAAATATGCTCTAATCAAGTAATTTTAAACTGTGGAGGCGTGCTATTGTCTTGTCATTTACTTTATAAAAATGGTTATTAGATCCAAATTTTGGCCATTGAAAAACATGTAAAGAGGGATTTCTCTTCTTCTTTCAATTAAATTTGGCCATTTTAATTAGCTTTCTTCTATCCACTTTTCTCAAGCCAAAGCACCTTTACAGTGATTAGTGATGGAGTACATGCACTTTATTCTAAATTTTGTTAATAAAAACTGAGTCCTACTACTCTAAAATTTTAGTAAATCAGTTTATATTAACGATCAAATTATTAAAAAATATATAGAATACACTTTAATCACGATATAAAATGCATGAAGGATTTAAGTTGTTGAGCTTTAAATGTAAGGTCCTCTGGAAAAAGAAAACTGATGAGACACTGAATTATCAATTTAATCAGGGCTTAATGACGAAGAGCTACTAGCTCTAAAAGAGTTTAAATTCAGCAGTTAAGTGCTAACTATATTGTGAGGTTAAAGATTGACATGTAGAGATGAACATGGCAAACGTTCAGTTGCTAATAATGAAGCATCCCCAACTTTCTAAACTCAAAGCCCATGAAACTTAATGAACTTTCTCTTTTCATAACGGCTAAACATGATGCACTATCTCCATTAACTCCCAATACATAAACCAACTGATTAGACTTGGATAAATTCCCAGAAAAAAAAAGAGTAATCTTTTTCTTGTTCTCTGTGTCCTGCATTTTTCTTTTATCAAAAGAAGAGCCAACCATAGATAGATTCAAAAGTAAAACGGAATCTTTGAACAGGAAAAGGAAGTTTCACTCATTAGTCCCTGCATTTAAATTAAAAAAGAAGTCTTATATTCTGTTTTGTCCGAGTGGAGACATGAATCTTCTGTGTCTATTATTTCCCATGTGGGCATGTTCCTTCACTTTGTTTTCGCTTGTAATTCTTGCCCGACCCGAGTTAACTGTTTCCTCCATCCCGGCTTCTGTTCTTCGTTCTGAACAAGAACCCATTTCCCAGTTTTCTTCCCAAATGGAAGCTGTTTCTCCAGGTATTTCCCTTAAATGGGGTTGCTTTTTTTTTAGCTTGCTTTAGCTGCTCAACTAATCCAGATTTCTGCATTGCTCTACTATTTTTTACTACGTTTTTCTCTTACTCTGGAGGATTTTACACATTTTATGCACTGTAAGCATAGGGTTTATGAAATTCCGAATTTCCAGTACTTTCGATGCAAGGAATAATTGTTTGCTCTATTAAAGTGGACAAATTTTTGGCATAGAAACCAACAATTTGTGATTCTTCTTTAATGAACAAACAAAGAGTTATGTCTATGTTTCCCCTTACATTTCTAACAGTAGCTTTTGATTTTTAGTTCAAACTTACATAATTTGTTCCTCAAAATGACAGTTTTTTCGTCTTCTTGCAAGCCTATTTGTGCCCCATTTCTTTGGGTTTTTTTTGGGTGCATTAATATAGTTCCCTGTGCAAACAAAAAAAGGTGGTTCTTTTTCTTCCATTTACCTATGCTAATTCCAATTAACCATGTTAATGCTAAAGCAGGAGTGGCTGTGGTTAGAGTAGTGCACCACCAGGATTTGAACAAGAGAATTCTTATAGCTCTAATCGTCGCCTCCACTCTCCTTTGTGGATTGTTGCTTTTTTTGTTATGTTTCTGGATATGTAGACTGAAAATCTTGAAGAATTCCAATGGGAAAAGAAAACAGAACCAAGGTATCTCGAGAACAAAATTATTCCTTTCTTATGGTTCTTGTCTTCTAATATGAACTTTGTTGTTTACTTTTGTTTTCACTGCACAATCTGCAGAACCTACAAAAGCACTTTCATTGAGTCCAATTGTTGATCGTTTTAATTCCTTATGGATGGCTGGGAAAAAGGGTTCAGTAGCTGTTATTGAGTATCGGTTATTGGAAACTGCGACAAATGGTTTTCAGGAAAGCAATGTTTTGGGTGAAGGCGGTTGTGGTCGTGTTTATAAAGCTTCCTTCGATGAGAAATTTCTTGCAGCTGTGAAAAAATTAGTTGACGTTGGGGTCGATGCTGAAAGGGAATTTGAGGTAATATTTTGTGCCTGACTGAAATAGATTGGAATGTCTCTAGTCTATGACATTTGATATCCTTCTTGGGCTTATTGCAATGTGCAGAATGAGGTGGACTGGCTAGTCAAAATCCGGCATCAAAATATTGTTTCACTTTTGGGTTACTGTATCCATGGTGAAACAAGGTTACTTGTATATGAAATGATGCAAAATGGTTCTTTGGAGAGTCAATTACATGGTATATACAAACCCCTTCTCTTTATTTCTAAGTCACAAAGAACAGTGAAAGTTAGTGGAAGATAGCTAAAGTTTATCTGTTGATCTATTTTTGTTGATTTGGACATTATAGGACCTTCTCAAGGATCAGCTTTAAGCTGGCATTTACGAATGAAAATCGCAATTGATGTTGCTAGGTGAATTCCATATCCGGTTCTTTTCTGATATCTTACTCTGATCCATTTCCTATTTGTTATTAATTTGGTTTGGAAAATTATCATTGATCTCTGATAGAGCATTAGAATATCTTCACGAGAACTGCAATCCACCAGTTGTCCATAGAGATATAAAGTCATCTAACATCCTTCTCGATTCCAACTTCAATGCTAAGGTAAACATTATGCAAGATGGACATGAAAGTTCTTTTCCTTTATGGTTCTTTCTTGAAATAACTTGGAATGGTTCCCTTAACCAATCTTTTCCTTGGTTCAGCTGTCAGACTTTGGCCTTGCCGTGACTACCGAATCGCAAAACAAAAATGTAGAGTTGTCGGGAACATTGGGATATGTAGCTCCAGAGTACCTCTTAGAGGGTAAGCCAAAGCTCTTTGTAGTTAATACATAAGAAATTCCGAATGAGAACCCATGCATTTTCGAGTGATATTCATCTTTCCACAAAACCAACAATATATGAATGTGTTCTGCCGAAGAACTTAGTTATCTAAATGTCTGCTGAGTCCGAATTCAGCAGACTTTAGCTTGTCAATTCGGCTCGCAGTATTACAGTTGTTGTGTCAGTGACAATTAATGTGATTCATGTGTCCTTGAGCAAATGCAGATCTCCAGAAAGATGGAGACGTAGCTGTTCATGTTTCCTGCCTCAGTGGCTGACCAAATGATACTAAGAGCTATTTTTAGTACCAAATGTAGTCTCACTCTTGAACTGAGTAACGTCATTGTTGAGTTTCTCAGGCAAACTGACTGATAAAAGCGATGTATATGCTTTTGGAGTTGTCCTTCTGGAGCTGCTAATCGGAAAGAAACCACTGGAGAAAATGTCACCAACTCGGTGCCAATCTCGTCTCATGGGTAATTTATTTTGACACTATTAACCTGGAGGAGTTTCAGCCAAGCTTTTAGTTGCATCTTGAACTTCGTTATATACAGTTTTGATACAGGTCATGCCCCAGCTTACGGACAGATTGAAACTTCCGAATATAGTCGATCCGGTAATTAAAGACACGATGGATTTGAAGCACCTATATCAGGTACACAATTAACTGCATCGTCATATGTGTGTTATTGTTATAAATTCAAATTGTATATCTTTCTGAACAGGTTGCTGCTATTGCTGTGCTTTGCATACAAACCGAACCAAGTTATAGGCCACTCATAACTGATGTCCTGCATTCTCTCATCCCTCTAGTACCGGTGGAACTCGGAGGTTCGTTAAGAGTTACATAGACGGTCTGTCCCTCCTCTCTTTCTTCGGTTTCGTGGCGGTTATACTAATTCGGAAGTTGTGATCGTAATGTCTTGAATTTCGATTTTGCATCCTGCTCGTCTTGGCTAAAAGATTGCTTCGGTAGCTTTCCCTCATTCTTTTCTAAATGAACGTTTCCTTCGAGGATCTGATGCAATTTCACTCTGCCGTGAAATACACACTTTTGGTTTTCTGGTAATACGATGTAAAGTAAGGTAGAATTTATATTTGAAATACGAATATTTAACATGAAATGTGTAGTATTGTGGTAGTTTATGTTCGATATTCATATATTCTTGAATATTAACTTTGTCCTCGAGCAGGATGACAAACTAATGTCGGTTTATATGCTTGAATTTCAACATCATTATTACCACGATATTATCAATGACACAAGGAAGATCACAAAGCCCAAGTTTCTTAGCTGTTTTAAAATGATTCCACGGATATTCTCAGCCGTCTTAAACAAACGGCAATGCCTTCAAATACTTCACGGTAGAATCATAATCCTTGTCTTTCTCAATTCAATTCTCCCCCCCTAAAAAAATGGTATTTTCAAGCTGGATTTGCAGTAAAAACACCAGGAACATGTTTGTGAAGATTGTTCATCCCGGAGGACACGTGGAACTCCATGACCGGCCTATCCTTGCAGCGGATATAATCTACCGTAACCCAAGGTGTGTGGTGGCTCACCCCCATGTTTTCCAGCAACCATGGGCCATTGTTGCACCGGAGACTGAGCTACCGCTAGGCCAAAAGTTCTATGTTGTGCCGATAAGCACTATTCGAAAGCTTCAACGACTGTCCAACAAGTATTCGTCTACACCAACAATAAGCGAATCCCAGCAAAACGGGGAACTAAAAGCTGCTGACAAGGATGATTCCATTAGTATATGTTGGTTCTTTACGAACAAGAATAACAAGACTCCATATTCCAGAATGAACCATAGTTCGGAGGGTGAAGACTCGAGTGCAGATAAAGGTATTTCCAAAGATATGGAGAAAGATGGGTGGCGTTTCGATGATAAAAGTTGCTTCGCATGCATGAAAACAGGTGTTAAGAGCAGTAACGACCATCATAAATCTGATGATGTGGATGATTCCTCTGAGTAAACGAGATCGCCTGGAAACTTGGTGTCAGCTGATGACGACCGTACAAGGTTGCATATGAGGAAGAGATTGAGAGGGCATGCAAAAGGGTCACCAAAGAGGCACCCAACATTTGATCAATGGCAACCAAGTCTTGCGAGCATTACTGAAACTGATGAATAGAGAAATTATATATAGAGAAAATAACCTCAGTGACCAAAAATCCCATATAATATACGATTTTAACCAACTTTTTCCGGATTTGCCAAAAATGACCAACAAAATCGCAATGCGATCGCTAATTCGCAACGCGATCTCCATTATCGCAAATTCGCGTTGCATTTTCGCAATGCGATAGTTGAAAATTGCGTTGCGATGGTCTACAGTATCGTTGCGATTTTCCCAATTCGCAATGCGAATAAGTAAATCGCAACGCGTATTGGGAAAATCGCAATGCGAATAAGTAAATCGCAACGCGAATTGGGAAAATCGCAATGCGATACTTACTATCGCAATGCGATAATAAAAAAATCGCAACGAGATACTTACTTTCGCAACGCGATACTGACTTTCGCAACGCGATTTACATAGCGCCATTCGTATTAACGCGTATTTTTTTTTTCAAATTCCAAACACGTATTTTTTCTTAATAAATCGGAAAATGAACCGTCCACAGTAATCGCAACTCATAACCTCAAACCCAAAAACACAACACTCAGTCCCATCTCCATCTCTCACTCTCTACGGCGAAATCCGTACCCATCTCCGAAGATTTCCGTCCCCATCGCCGGCGAAATCCCTCACAACCATTCACAGTCAAAAATCCCTCACAATCATTCAGAAATGGAAAATCAACCTCCGAGGGTTAGTTTTTTTTATTTTTATTTTGAAATTTTTGCATTATTTTAGGTTTTTCATATTGAGATTGATGATAAGTTTACTGGTAATTTCAATAATAGATTAACCATTTCACTTAGATTTCTTATTAAATTCATTCGATTGCTGCCAATACTGCTAAACTGTTTAGCCTGTGAAGTTAGTATTTGTCTTTTGGTTGAAGTAATGCAGAAGAAGAATAGTTTCGAGAATGAAAATCGCAACGCGGAAATAACTATCGCAACGAGATAATCGCAACGCGAAACCAAAATCGCATTGCGATTTTCATTTCGCGTTGCGATTTTCATTTCGCGTTGCGATTTTTATTTCGCGGTTGCGATTTTCATTTCGCGTTGCGATTGTCTGGTCGCGATAGTCATTTCGCGTTGCGATTCTCTCGTTGCGATAGTCATTTCCGCGTTGTGATTCTCATTATCTCGTTGCGATTTTCATTTCAACCAGAAGACAAAAACAGTGTTGCAAATTTTAGTTTCAAGAATAAACTACTATTTATGTTTATTGTTTTGTTTTTGGTATATCTTGACAGTGTAATTTTTGGTATATCTAACTTGGTATGTTTATTGTTTTTTTGTAGAAATTTTTTTCGGCTTCATTGACATTAAGGAATAAAGTTAGCCTAGCCACTACAATTGCTTCGAAGCTTTCACCTGCACAAAGAAAATTGTTTGAAGAAACCTGCTTCGGGCCATGGCTGAGAGTACAGCATCCGGGTGGAGATGCTAGTTTGACCCATTTGTGGCTTCAGACCATGACTAGCGATCTACCCGACAGTATACAACGTGGTGAGGAAGAGATATGGTTTCATTTTCCACCGGCGTATACTTGTTTTGGGCGGAAGGAGTTCTGCTTAATCACTGGTCTACGATTTGGACACGATGATGTAGGCCGGTACACTCGTCATATCACCCGCCCATCATGGTTATCCAGGGTTTTTCCTGATGAGTCAATAGAGAAGCCGAACTTACACGTCGACGACATGAAGAAATTGTTTAATAAGAAAGATGGTTTTACTCGGATGAATGACGTCGATGTTGTCCGAGTATGCCTTCTACTACTTTTGTATGCCGGCTTTCTAGGCAGAGAGGCCAGACAACCTATTCCTCAGGAGCTAATATTATTGGTAGAGGACCTAAATGCATGAAATCTGTTTCCGTGGGGTTCGTATATATGGAAAGCTACCTGGACTAAGTTGTCGTCTGCCTTTGATGACCGCAAAAGTTTGCGGGGCGATGGGTCGAAATACACTTTGTCAGGCTTTGTTTGGGCCTTTAAGATAAGAATTTCTATATAATGTTTTCAAAATTATAATTAATTATTTAACAATTACTAATGTTTGTTATTATATTGTTTGTAGATTTGGATATTCGAGGCTTTCCCCAGCATGCGGACATATGCATTAAAATCCTCAGATGATATTCCTAGGGCTATTTCCTGGAAGAGGAAACGTATGTTGGATTGGGAAGACTTAATACCATATGCGACAATAAATAATGTAAGTTAACACAAATACTATCATATATAAACAAGTTATTAATAGTAGACGTTTAACTTTGTTTAGTTTTTATATTTTTAGGAGGCCAACACTCCATTAATGAGACTGACACCCACGGAGGCTGAGCTTGCCACTGATTGGTGGCAAGCTAGTCAGCGTTTTTTTGATGGCACGAATGATGAGCAGCCTCCACTTCCTCTACTTCGAGAGCCATCACCTCACCCAGAGCCATCACCTGATCGACCCGACTATACACCTCTACAACGAGAGCCATCACCTATCCCGTCACATCATCGAGTCTCTTCTCCACCATCACCTCATGATAGGCGACCGACAAAGATGCCACGACTTCTATCTCCCTGTTCTCCACCTCCACGGGATGAGTCAAGGGAGTTACGTGATGAGGTCAATGCCTTGCGTGAGGAGATCGATACTCTACGCGATAACGATGGTGCATGGCGTGTGGAGGTGTCTACTTTACGTGGTGAGGTTGCCGCTCTACGTGAGATGGTAGTATCGTTGCAGAATGAGGTTCATACTCTACGCAACGAGGTAAGTTTAAGATTTTCCATATTTAACTTGATGATAAATTTACTCGTAATTTCACTTAAATTAACCATTTCACTTAGATTGCTTAGTAAATTTATTCGGTTGCTGCCAAAACTGCTAAACTTTTTACTTTAACACTGTGAAGTTAGTATTTGTCTTTGTTTTGTCTTTTGGTTGAAAGTTTGAAATATATTTATCTTTGTTTTCACTGTTTAAATATCATGTCTGTTTATTTACTGATATTTGTATTTTTATTTAGCGGACCGATAAGGTGGATGCTTTACGTCGGGTTTTTCTTGCACGACAGAGTTCACGCATCAGACGGTGTGCACGTGCTATTAAGTCTCCGTATACCCCAATAGTGCGAAGACACCGCAAGAAGAAGCCCGACTCGCCTATCATCCCTCAAGAGTCCACTCCTATCGTTGAAGAGGCCCCTATCATTCCTCGAGAGTCCCCTCCCACCGTTCAAGAGGCCACTGTCATCGTTGAAGAGGTCCCTCCCACCATTCAAGAGCCCGATTCACATGGCGTCATATATAGGATTCTTGAGAAACCCTCTGACGTGCCGGACATGATGGATTCAAGTTGGCTCTCGTATGAGTTACCGGCCAGTACCATACCGGTATCTGAAGAGGAGAGGAAACAACTACCGGACACAATTCTGGATAACACCCTTTGGGCTAAGACCGCAGTGATTTTTATCTACATGAGCGAAGCCAGGGGTGTTTCACTGACATATGCAAGCTCAATGATGATATCTATTTGTTGCTTGATCGGTCTTGGTGGGGCGTATTATTAGGGGTCGAAGACAATGGCTATTTCGATGGAGGGGTAAGTCTTATATTTTTCTTATATTTTCATTTGATTAATTTGTTTAAAAATTAATGTAATTCACTAATATATGTATTTTTTTGTAAAACAGCATATCGATGCGTGGGTGTCACGTCTACTAATAATTAGGAAACTTAAGGAAAATAAAAGAAATACACGGTATACAATAATGCCGACGGCTTTTAACGCAGTTCACTTGAAGAATCAACGAGATGAATCATTTGCGTTGGGCAATGGACAAGCTAAACTTTATCCTGCATGGTGGGAGGTCGATAAGGTTAGTGTTTATTTTAGATTGAGTTTAAAGGTATTCATAAATAAGTGCGCAAATGAATGAATTATTACTTATGATTGCAGGTGTTT